ATTAAGACAGTTTATAACTGGAATTTCCACTCTGTGTGTGCAAACACGATACTCCAAAAGACTTTTTTAAAAAAAGAGTGTGAAAACACTCTAGAAGATGACTTTTTTTTCAGTAAGATTTACCTCCTCATTTTCTCAGGGCATGTATTTTCCTGGCGATCTGAAAAATGTGGCAGACACTGCTCTTACTTGACCATGCATCAGACTTGCTATTGCTTCTATTTGGGGACGTAGATTTCATTTCTCAGCTACTCTGGAGTCAGCATGGCCATGTGACTGAGCCTTCGTCAAAGGGATGAGGGCAAAGTGGAAGCACTCTACTTCCAGACCTGGTCCATGAAACCCTCCCTGCTCACACCTCCTCCAGTTGACTGAAAGGGGGATTACCTCCTGAGTGCACTTGGGAAACACAGAACGAAGACTGGAGAGCCATGAGATGAAAGGACCTGTGCCCCTGGATCAGCACTTGGAGGACAGCCACTCCAAAGAGAGCTGTCTGTTACGTGAGCAAGGAACAAATTTTGCATTAAGCCTTTGCGATGTGGAGGTTTATCTGTTACTTTTCCTAATGAGAGTTCACTGTATTTACGGAGCTAGCTGTTGACAGATGGCTTTGGGATGGAAAAATGATCTAGAAGTCCCTTCTCTAGGTAATGTCATCCAATAGTTTCTCCCTGAAATCAAAGTACTAGAGACCCTTGTCAGGCCTCCGCCTAACTGGTGCTCAATCACATTGAGTAAGTGGTAACCATAACTCCCACCCAAGCTTTTATCGGTCTCTCTTCTGAGGTCTCTGCTCTAGCATTAATGGTATCCTTAGGGACCAATCCGATTTCTCCCCTGCCAGTATCATATTCACCATGCTTCCTGGTCAGACTCCTCCCTCTCTGCCACATGATACTGGGGTCCATGTAACCTAAGATGGCATCCGGTAACAATTTTTAAATTTATCAATCAGGATACTTTCTCACCTACTGACTCCTGTATGTCATGATAGAAGATAAAGGACCATTCTTCCATCAGCAAGGAAGCAATGTAGATAAACTCCATGCCATTTATAATTCATTTCACCTTCATTAAGTATTCATATACTACTTATTGGTAATCACCTAAGCATTTTATGTAATAAAAAACAGAATAGCTAGAAAAGAAACTGGGAAAGGTTGGTTTTATTAGGAGACTGCAAGAGAGGAAAATAATCGATTTGCTACATTCTTTATCCCAAACTTTTTCTTGCAGGAAGGATTTCTGGACATGTCAGTTGCAAGTGAATTAATTAGGTATCTTGAGGGTGAAAGGAATGGTATCAATAGAACATCTCTGCTATTTTCTATCATTCATTCAGCCCATATTTATTGGAGACCAGCTTTGGCAGCCCCTGAGAATAAAACAGGTATTCCTTTCTTAAAGTCTGGACATCTTAAGCAGATATCTATGTAGATTAAACACACTGAATCCAGACTGAAAATACTAAACACCTACCTTGCCACTAAAGATTAGTTTACTGGATTATCATCAATAATAATAATGCAAATAATAATAATGGCATTGTCATCATAATTCACCATAATTAGGATAGGCAAAATGTACTGAGACGGTACAACTGGCCAGCTCCTAAACAGAGAAAAGTGTTCTATGCATATCTCATTTAAATGAACTGACACATGGCCCCTACCCTGACCTGTACTCAATAGACTAGTACAGGTAGATATAGTAGAAGCTATATTATCTAAGTTTTAGAGATTGAGAAGCACACAAACAAAAAGAATGAGACATCTTAAACGCCTCTAGTCTTCCAGCCAACATGTCTCAAGAAGACATCTTCCAAAACTACCAGTAAATAACTTATTTTTTTCTCCCATCTTAATGGGGTGGTTTTGATTCCCACCTGTCATAACCAAGACGTGTCAGGTATATCCACATTAAAAAACTAATTTTGAATTACGTGAGCAAAGATTAGCCCTAAAAGTATCATATTTTTAACAATAAAAACAAATTAAGGCTGGGCACAGTGGCTCACACCTGTAATCCCAACACTTTGGGAGGCCGCGGCAGGTGGATCGCCTGAGTTCAGCAGTTGGAGACCAGCCTGGCCAACATTGTGAAGCCCGGTATCTGATAAAAATACCGAAATTAGCCGAGTGTAGTGGCACATTCCTGCAATCTCAGCTATTTGGGAGGCTGAGACAGGAGAATCACTTGAAGCCAGGAGACGGAGGTTGCAGTGAGCCAAGATCATGCCACTGCACTCCAGACTGGGTGACAGAGCAAGACTGTCTCAAAATAAATAAATAAATATTAAAAAATAAATGAAAACAAATTAATGTGGACATTCCTTTGGTGAATGAGACAAATTTTATGGGGAAAAGAGGGAGTTAAATGCTGTCCATGTCTCCACCATCTGCAATTTGCTTACCTACTGTCCTGGCATGGAGCACAGCTGTGTCCACACCACACAGAGCCTGCCTGCTAATATACAGTCCTGGAAAGTGTCATGTGCAGAAAACTTCCCCAAAGCATTTATGGGGAACAGTCTAATTATTCAACCCCATTCCATTCACTCCCATTATACCCCCTATTTAAAGTCGCTATGGAAAAGGCCATTTATCTCCAGGGACAAATTGTCAAAGCAGTGTTTTATGGATAGAAATATGCCCATTCTGCTTGGTAAACAACCCGGCAAGAGGTACACGTGTCTCCTTCTCAACAGGTCCAGGGAATTAGGGCCCGAGGGATCCACATAATGCAGTGGGATCCCTTTATATTCAAGAAATGCTCACTGGAGGACCCCACTGGTTTGCTGAGTGAGCACAGATTATTCCAGAATTCTCAACTTTACGCTCAGGATATGGGAGAAGGATGAGCTATTAAGTTGGCCCAACTAGAGAAAGCTGTTCTTTACAACTCTAAGCTAACAGATGACGGAAGTCTCCATTGCTGAGCAAGTGTCTTCTGCAACCCGACCCCGGTATGCCTACCCAGCTCTTCACACCCTAGAAACAGCCCTTTACAAGGATAGATCTCAAGTTCTGCCTCTCAGTGAAGTGGACTATTCCTGGAGTTTCCTTTTCTTTTGGGGACATTTTGCTAAAAATTAAACCTTGAATATGTAACAACCCTATTTATATGCAAATACATGCGGGTCATTTGTAGCACAGAAGCATTAAATATATGTGTTTGTTTCTTCTTACAAAGCCATGTTTTTACACACACATCTGCACACACATAGACTTTGGAGCCTACGTATTTGCTTTGGTGTGTGTATAAGGACTTATAAGAAATTTGGGTAAACGGATCCTTGCAGGGACTCAGCGAGGATTAATTGAGGTGGTGGTCATTACTATGGAAGAAAAACCCTACTCAGAATCAGACATGTTGATTCATCTTCTTCATTACGGTAAGGTTGAAAGGGACCATTCTCTCCAAGAAAAAAAAAAATTTCCCTGAAATAATTTCCAAATGAGATCTGCAGGTATTTTCTGTGCAACAGGTATCACCTGCAATTTGCACCACAGTTTGATGTGGCCCCGCTCCCAGCGTCCTAGAAGATGTAAAAGAGCAGCACCCCAAAGCCAGGCACCTCCTCAGAATTGAGTAGCACTTGGGTTTTTTTGAGCACAATCCCATTCGGACAATGATACAACATGGAATGAAACGACTAATAATAATACCAAAAGTGTCAAGTGCAATACTGAAAAATGTCAGTATTTTTGCATTCAACCATGTCAGCAGCAAATCCAATCTGAAATATGCTGACAATAGTGGAGCTATGAAAACCAATATATTTGATGAGCCAGTCGTCCAATAAATTATATATGTGTACGTATACATTTGTATGTACTTCCCCCAGAAGTAAGAGACAGGGGTGATGGGACTCTAGGAGAGACATGTTTGTCACAGAATCAGTTTACACCGACACTCTGTCCTCCTCAAATGAGGATTAAGCTTAATATTTTGTGATGGGACAGGCACCCCAGAGTGATCAAGGCACCCCAAAAAGGTCATGGTATCTTTCATCAGGGCCTGAAATGCCATCACCATTGGAGATCAGGATTAACATTATCCACAGCTGCCTCCCACTGTACGGGAAAGAAGGTGACTCAGGTGTGCTCTAGAGGCCATATTATTTCCTTTTCCCAAAATATTGACTGCAGTATATTTTTAGAGTTTGAAAGAAACTCGCAGTCTTTCTTATCCTTCCTTTAATTGCTTGTTAGAGAATTTTTTTTCAGTATGTTTGATCGAAAAAGAAGAAGAAAATAAAAACTGTCCATCATCCCACCATCCAAATATTTCAACTAAGATTTTGGTATGTATAATTGTGTGTGTGTGTGTGTGTGTGTATGTGTGTAGTCTTTCCTATGTGACTACTCAGCTAAGTAGCAGGGAGAAAGAGCACATGATTTCCATGTCACTTTGCTCCCCAAAACTTCTCAGCCGTAATATTGGATAGCCTAGGATACCTGAGTTCCTTTCTCCTGTCTGGTCAGTCCTCAGGATGCATGCGTCTCTCTGGGCAGGGCTGGGAAGGATCAGTACAAGTAGAGTTTTCAGTCCCTCACTATTACCAACAGAAGACTGCTTTGCCAATGACAGAAACCATGTGGCCCTCAGAGACAGAGTGTTATTTCACAAAAAAGCATTTTTATACGTTTTAGATTATTTGACAGTATAGGGAAATATTTACAATGTGGTGAAAAACAACTCTGTAAAACAGACACCAACTGACTTAACTACGTGAACCAAAATATCAGTCATAACCAGCTCACTGAGGTAGAAAAGATGAACTCCACTCTTTCTGCATTTCTGTATTCTCCAGATTTCAGCAATAAGCATGAATTGTCCTTTTAAATAAAAAAGTGATAATAATGGTAAAAATAATAGGCATTTTGTTGTTGTTAGATTATTTGTTGTTACGCTTAGTGTGTTGGCTAAAAAAAGTATCATGAAGTATAATGTGATCCTCTCCATTTGCCAAAGGTCAAAAGGGAGATGTAGCTCTCTCCTTCCTTGGGTCTTGTCTAGGGTTAGAGTCACTGAGATATGTCTCTCCCTGAGTAAGTCTCACTATTCAGAGATTTCTGCAGAGATGCTCATCAAGCTACAGGAAAACACAGGGAAAGATTTACTTTTAATTTGTTTTGGTTACTTAAACATACATATTTTTTCTTTCCCAGATTCCCTGAGAAGAAAATAATGTGTGTAACATTTTAAACAGCAGTGACCATTTACTGAGCTAAGGGCTTCATGTATGCAATCTCATTTATCTCTATTACTCAGTAAGGTAGGTACCATTCTTCTTTCAAACATTTATGTGAGAAGACCAGGGTCATCAATCAGAGGCACAGCTGGGGTCAACTACCATTCTGTCTGGCATAAAAGTTCACCCTCCTTACCACAATGACATACATACATAAGTAGAAGAATTAAAAAAAGATACAAGACATCCTGATTCCATTTTGGCATTATACTCTCTCAGTACTTTTTCCTGCCTACCATGTGCCAGGCTTTCTTCTAGGGGCTGGGATGATTGCAGTGATCTCAACATCAAAAACACTGCCTTTGTGGAGGCCACATGCTCCGGCCGAGTCATATTAGGTACCAAGTACTATTTCTGGATTGTTTCTTTTTTTCAATTATCTAGTTCTCCATCAGTCCTATACTGCTTTCCTATCGTAAGCTTCACAATATATTTTAATATCTAGATGGAAAAGTCACTTTCCATTGCTCTTTATTTCAATAAGTTCTTGCTTATTCTCACTTTTTAATTTTTTTAAGATAGGGTCTCATTCTAACGCCTAGGCTACAGGACAGTGGTGTGATCATGGTTCACTGCAGCCTGGACTTTCTCGACTCAGATGATTCTCCCACCTCAGCCTCCTGAGTAGCTGGGACTACAGGTGGGCACCACCACACCTGGCTAATTTTTGTACAGACAGGGTTTTGCCATGTTGCCCAGGCTGGTCTTGAACTCCTGAACTCAACTGATCTGCCTACCTTGGCCTCTTAACATGCTGGGATTACAGGCATCAGCCACAGTGCCTGGTCTATTTTCATTCTTTTTACCAACATTACAAAGAATATTCTCATACATGTATCTGTGAGCCCTTGGATGGATTCGATTCTTAAAAATCAAGGAAGCATATTTGCTGGGTCAATGGGCATATGCATTTAAAATGTTTATCTCTTTCACCAGATTAACCTCCAAAAGGGCTCGTTCTGCTTTTTGTCTATTTTAATATGGCTTTTAATCTTTTTATTATTGCCCCCAAACAGATCCTTGTATTCTGTGGATAGTAACACCTTCATTTTCAAAAGTGTTACAAATATTTTCTGTTTATTATTTTTATTTTGAACTTAGTTTATATATATATATATTTTTTAATGTAGAAGTTTTGCAGTGTTTTGTAACTGACCTTATCGATCTATTTCTTTACTTTTTCCAGCATTGGGCTTTATGCTTAGAAAGATCCTCTACTGAGAAGTGAAAGATCTCACTTTTATTTTTGTCTATAAAAGTGGTATAGGAAACAAATAAAAAATGGATAACCAATAGTCCCAACACTATGCATTAAAAAGCTCTCTTTTCTCCCTTAATTTGAAATGTTACCTTCATAATATACTAAACTCTCATGTATAACCCCTTCCGCTTAGAACCCTGTTACTCTATTTATCCATTCTTGCAACATTATCTTATTTTTAAGGAATATATTTTTATATCCAATAAAGAAAGCCAGTAGCCTCTCTCTCTATCAACTAGGGTTTAAAAAAATCCATTTGCTCTTCTGCATATTAATTCTTCCAGAAAAGCTTTGGATTCAACTTGTCATTTAAAAATCATTCAGAGTCTTGATAGAAATTTCTTGGAATATACAGTTTAATTTGAGCTAGGGTTATATTTTGAACCTACCATCTAAGACCTTGATATGTTTCTCCAAGTCTTATTTTAAAACATTTAAAAAATGTAATAATATTTCTTCTACATTTCTTGCTAACCTCATCCCAAGGCATTTTAAAGTATTTCTTTTTATGGCAAGTGGCTCCTCCTTCACCCCACGACATTTCCCAACATTTTATTGTTGATCGGCAGATGATCGATTTTATTACATAAAAACATTTTATTCTTTCGATTTCTTTCTTTCTGTTTTTTTTCAGCTCTCCAAACTTGTGGTAATCAGGATCTCCCTGGCTTCTACTGATGGACTTATAGGCACATGGCAGAAAGGATGTGAAATTTGGCACCAAAAACGCATGTATTTGTGAGCTTCACGAACTTCTGGTTTGTGGTCCATAAAGCAGACATACTAGTAATTGTTTTAGTAGCTCTTATAAAAATTAGAGCTTATGTGTGTTTTGTTTAACTGTGTTGAATGTCACCCATCACTTTTTGAATGTAGATGGCTATGGGATTTTAGAAGAGTACTCAGATGATACTTTCTTAGGGGCGATATATTTAGTTAGGCCTCCAAATTTCAGTGGGTTAACACAATAAAACGCATTTTTTTTTTTTTTTTTGAGACAGAGTCTCAGTCTGTCCCCAGGCTGGAGTGTAGTGGCACGATCTTGTCTCACTGCAACCCCTGCCTCCCCGGTTCTAGCAATTTCCCTGCCTCTGCCTGTCAAGTAGCTGGGATTACAGTCACGTGCCACCAAGCCCGGCTAATGTATTTTAATAGAGGTGGGGTTTCACCATGTTGGCCAGGATGATCTCCATCTCCTGACCTCCTGATTTGCCCACCTTGGCCTCCCAAAGTGCTGGGATTACAGGTGTGAGCCACCGTGTCCAGACACATTTTTTGCTTATAAACAGTCTGTCGTGAATATTTCTACTCAGCCATCTCTCTGTGGAAGCTCTCCTCCAAGGGTCAACTTGGGAACCCAGTTTCCTTTACCTGGTGGCTTCATCCTCCTCCACATCCTTGGGTCCTGTCAGCTCAGCCAGCGGATGGGAAAGAGAGACCATGGAGAAATGCCTAGGAGGTTCTCATGTGCCAGGCCAGAAAGGTTGTTTGTAGCCTTCCCTCTCTTCTGCTGGCTTGAGCACAGTCACATGATGTATCTAACTATAGAGGATGCTGAGAAATGCTGCCTAGTGATGTGCCCAGGAGAAGAACTAGTTTGTTAAGTAGAAAGCAATCTCTGCCATAGGTAGTATTTGGAGAAAGGGGAGAGGGCACTCATGTCCATGTGGTTACTGTTTGGAGAGAGGAGAGACACCACTTGTGCCCATTTGGTTAGTTTGGAAACAGTCCAGGAAAATGGAGAGGATCCCTAGGTAACTGAGTCCCTTCCTCCTGTGCCAGTTTTCTCCATGAACTGGGTGACCTATGGTTTCTTTTTAGCAAAACCAGTCCTACTATGATTTTTTGGATTGTTTTCTAGCTCTGTCTACAAATAGGTTGGAGGACAATAGGCCAGGAGCCCCATGTGTTGGTCCAGTTTATGAGAAGGCACCTGCCACCCCTTCCATGAGCCTGCCTTGCAAATGGAGCCTCCACTTTCTGCACCACCAAAGTGCTGCTGGCTCTTTCTGTTTCCCCCACCTCCCCCCACCTATCTGGGCCCATCAGCAATTCCTTCCCATGAAAATTCTCTGGCTGACTTCAGATTTGGAAAAGTGATCATGATAACAATAGCCACAATGGCTAACCTTTTCTGATTCCTTACGCTATACCAGGCACCGTGCAAACACACTCTGCACCGATTTCATTTCTTCCCACCAATTCTGTGAGGCAGGCACTTTTATGACTCCTTTTTCTAGGTGAGGAATGAGTAACCTACTGAACTCAATTGGATGAGGAACTTCCTGAAGTCCACCAGTTGGTAGTAGAGAAGATTTGAACACCAGGAGCAATTTGCCTGCAGAGTCCTCAATATGAATGGTAACACCAATGAGTTTAGAAGTACTCCCCATTGCTCTGAGTACTCCCCATTGCTCTAAACTTCTTACCCCACCTAATAATTTCCTCTTGGTCTGGCTTCTGATTTCCTTTCTAGACTCACCTCTTGCCAAGGGTGTTCACACACAAATATACACATATGCATGTGCACAAACATGCACACAAACGCATTCATACACATGCGAACATACACGTTCACACACATGTATACAAACACACACACACACAGATGTGTACCTATACACACTACACACACACACATCCCACCACAAAGGGAATTTCGTCCACTGGGGCCATGCTAGCCTTTCATTTCCTCTCATTACCCATGCTGTCTGGCCTCTGGACCTATAGCTGCGCATACGTATTGAACACCTACTAACTGCCAGGCACTTTGCTAGGTGCTGGGGATGTAGAAGTAAACAGGACAAATCAATCATTTGCCTTGATGAAGTTTCCATTTTATGGAGGAAATAGGTAACAAACAAATAGAAGTCTGTATTTTTGGCTATTGCTTAGCATTATGAAGTTATATAAATCAGGGTAAGGGATTAGAGAGTGGCAGAGGATGTGCCTGTTTTAATTGGGGTGCTCAGAGAAGGCCCACTCTTGGAGGTAAGTATTTCAGTCAATGGGAATCTCTCCAGCGCAATAAGAATGGTGACCCCATAAAGCTGGGGAAGGTAGCCGAGCCCAGGCAGAAGGATGAGCAAATGCAAAGGCCTGAGGTGGAGATGACCTTGGTCTGTTGATGGAACACAGACCAGGGTCATGTAGCTGGAAAGAAGAGAGCAAAGCAGGCTGGCTAGGGTGGCTCACACCTGTAATCCCAGCACTTTGGGAGGCCAAGGCAAGTGGATTACCTGAGGTCAAGAGTTTGAGACCAGCCTGGACAATGTTGTAAAACCCCATCTCTATTAAAAAGGAAATTACGAAAAAATTAGCTAGACTGGTGGCAGGCACCTGTCATCCAAGCTACTTGGGAGGCTGAGGCAGGAGAATCACTTGAACTGGGAGGTGGAGTTTGCAGTGAGTTGAGATCGTGTCATTGTACTCCTGCCTGAGCAACAAGAGCAAGACTCTGTCTCAAAAAAAATAAATAAATAAAAATAAAAAAAACAGCAAAGCAGAAGTGGTTGGAGATAGGCCTGGATCACACAGATCCATGAAGGCCATGGTAGGATTTGGGCTTTCACCCGCACACACCACGGTAGGTACTGGATGCTTTTAAATGACATAATGACATCACCTGATTTACATTTTAATAAGATCTCTCTTGCTGCTCATGTTAAATGCCAACTTACCTGATGCCCTGAAAGTTTCCCTTCCACCCCTGTTTTAAGACAGCAGGAGTAGATATTATTAACATACAATGACAATTTGATTTTAAACTTCCATGTCTCATGTCAACTGTGGCAAACCCGTGCTACAGATGACATCAATATGATCCAGCCACCAAAGCAAATATACTTACTAGTACTGAGCACATTTTGGAAATTGGAAGTGAGCATTTTGTAAAACTCTAATTAGGACTAAGTTTGGCCTCCGGTCTCTAGGTCAAGTCAAATCCTGCTGGACCTGTTTTAAGTCAGGGCGGGTAGGCATATTTGACACTCAGATTGGCATTGGATGTGTAAATATATACATTTCTCAAAAACTTTAAGCCTCTTTTAAAAATCTCTTAAAAATTTGTTTACAACATTTATTTAAAATATGCACCGACTTTTTTTTCTTGATGTAGTAGATACCACTGCGAACTTTGAAACCTGGTTTATTTCTAATTTAGTTGTTTTCTGCAGATGTGGTATTCTTTGATGCACCATCCCACCCTAAAACAAATGCAAACTGACATTGCTTCTGTAAGGAGAGCGTTAGGAGACAAAACCCTGGAAAGAGCTGAGGCTTGCAAAAAACCCACAAAGGACGATAAAAAGGGCTTTCTGAGCTATGTTTGGAAGGAGAAGGAAAAGGAAGGGATCAGGAGTAGATGATGCAACCCAAACAGATGACACTAAGAAAGCAGAAGTTCTCCACTCTTATTTTCCTTCCACCTTCTCCCTTGAGGAACAAAGCCTTAAGGCTGGAAGGAATCAAGCACACATTGTGCAGAACAAATTGAAACATTAATTTTGGAAAAGGAGTACAGGGCTTTTGCATACACCAAGGATAATGACTCAGATGACTCCAAGGACTAGACAGGTAAATAAAAGCATAAAGTGTGTGTAGATCTGTCTCTGTGGAGCTAACTGAGAGGACAAAGGGGGCAGGGAGCTGGGCACCTCAGCTCCTGCTCACTCTAGTCTGTCATACTGGCCATGAAGACATACAGAGTGTTGCCCAAGAACATATGATGGACTGTCCAAAGACTGTCCAAAAAATCCAATCTTTGATTTTTTTTCAACATAGGTCAACACCCTGAATGATTTCATGCTTAACCTGTCCAGATTTTTTAATGCCAGCAAGGAACTCAGAAGTTTTCAAAATGCTGTACAGACCCAAAGAACACTTGTCTGCAGGGTAGGCTCAGCCCAAGGCTGCCATTTTGGAAATTCTGCTCAAAATAAATTCGGCTCTTCAGGGTACCTGGCAAATGATACAACTGAAGATCATGACAACTGGCAATAGGAAACAAGCTAACCGTGGGTCAGAGGGGACTGTTGCTCAAGGTTTCTGAAGGGGTCAAGGTTTATTTCCCAATTAGATTCGTCTCTGACCCTCATTCCAGCAAATTCCAGAACAGGTTATAGCAGATGGTGAATATGACAAGAAAGAAGGCATGGAACATGGTTTCCGCCACAGCTTGAGTAAGATCAAGGACCTTTTAAATGGGCCACTAGACTAGAAGCTCAAGGAGATGGTATGAAAGGACCTCAAAGGAATGTGACAATATCTCAGCAATGAGAACTGTGGCTGAATGTACAGTAAGTTTAGATGAATTTGTAGGTGGATAGACATCCAGATCTCAAACATGTTGGTTAGTGGATCAAGAACCACCAGGGAGAAGGTCCTGAGCAATCATTCTATGAGGGCTTAACATTTTAAGTACAGTTGTCCTTGGGTATTTCTGGGGAATTGATTCCAGGACTCCCATCAACCCTAACGATACCAAAATCCACGGATGTTCAAATCCTTTATAGAAAATGGCAATTTGGGACCCATGGATACAGGAGCTCAACTGTATTTTCACTACCTCTTGGATGAAGAACTGATGGCAGAACAGGTCTCAAAAATGTATTTGAGGGCTGGGTGTGGTGGTTCATGCCTGTAATTCCAGCACTTTGGGAAGCTGAGATTGCTTGAGCCCAAGAGTTCGAGACCAGCTTGGGCAACATAGCAAGAACTGTCTCTACTAAAAATATTTTAAAAAATAGCTAAGTATGCTGATGTGTGCCTGTAGTCCCAGCTACTCGGGAG